TTTTTTTTATTTCCCTTTTTCATTTTTTTTCTTGTTGCCTACCTTCAAATGCTTACTTCTCACCATCTCAACATTTTACCAAATTGCAATTAGCATGCTTTAATGTTAATAATCAATTTCAGTAAAAGTCGCCGAGCCACTTTAAAGTGAACTTTGAAATCAAATTTAAGCTTAATTTCACAAAAAGTTCGTTTTGAACATCATTCCGTATTAAACAAAACCTTTTACTAAAATTGAATTTCAAATATATGCAAAAACCCCCCACATCTAAAAAAAAAAAATCTGAAAAAAAAAAACCCCCCAAATCATCTATAAAAATTCGAATTCCTGAAACTTCGGGAAAAAAATAAAAAACCTGGCATTTTTTACAATTCTGTATTACATTGATAACATTGATGACGTGTTTTATTTTTTATGTAGTAGACACAGCATTAGTGTTTGTATCATGTTATGGCTTCTAAACGTGTTATAATAATTATTTTCTAGGTCCTGAAGCTAAAATCAAATGTCTCACAGGTAACGTCAATGTTACCAGGCAATATAGATAATTTCTAATACAAACAGTCGGATAAAGAAATAAAGGTTATTTTATTTCTTTGCTAAGGCACTTGTGGGCATAAAAATAGTAAAAGTGAGACGCCGGCAATTTTGATTGCACATCGATGATAATACTGCACAAGTGCACTTATTTGTGAACTTGCAATTCCAAGTACTTGGTTAATATACTGTTGGAGCCAAATTTTCTATCAAGACTTTGGAATTAGGAAACATTTTTACTGATTTTCATGACATACCATTGAAATAGAAAACAACAAAAAACAATAATGAACATTCATTTTTTGATAAAAAAGATAATTTGCAGTATTATAAATTTCGTTATTTAAGATATTTAATTTGTTAATTAAGTGTTTTTACAGGGTTTCATAATTTAAAAAAAGACTGCAACCTAAGCATTCTTTTTTTGCGCCTTTTAAATTACGGGCGCCTTTAGGTAAACCTTTTTTACGTTTTCAACTAAGGAAAATTTCAGCTCACCGTAAGATGATAAAGTTTTTAACCAAAAGTAAAAAAAGCCCCAAAAGGGAAACTACATCCGTTTTTAACAAAAAAGGGGTAAGCATTTTCCAGGGGATTGGGGAAACAAAAAAATGTGAAATATACGCCAAATACTCTTTTAAAAATTTTTATTTCGCTAAGGTTTTTTATTGTTTAAAATAAATTTTTATATCGGGAAAATAGTAAAAAATATTTAAATTAAACAACTGTGTATATAAAAATATCAACGTCACGATTACCCAATGAAATTCAACGTTACAAATGAGCAGCATGATAATGATGAATATTTGTAATGTTATATATAGCCAGAGCCAACATGTACATGATTGATCAACATTTCATACATTTATTTCAGGGGTGTGGTCACAGACATCTGTAATTTTTTCGGTATTGTATTGGAATTTCTTTCTGCACGATAACAAGTCTTCTGTAGAAAGCGGGTGCTTTGTCCAGTAGTATCAGAATTTGACTACAATTGTAAAGGTTGTTAGATTACTTATCACTGCAATGAAATGTATTAAATGTATTGTGTCATTTGAGATACTAAACAGAAACACTATGTGTTGAAGGAAGTTATAAGGTGCATCCTTTCAGCCTTAAGTAAGTACTTGAATTAAAGTTCCTGGCGGCACTCATATCTACAGCGCTGAGGGGCAAGCGATTGGAAGTCAACGACATTGAAAGTTTGGTTATAGATAAAATAGGACCAGTATTCTCTGGCGCCTGAACGCAAAAAGCTCACACACTGAAACGTAAATGAATGGGAGAGTTTCTAGTTAATCCAGCAGAGTTATCTCTGCAGCGCCCTTGGCAAATAAGAGGTATACACCTGTATGCTGGCTATCTCTGTGTATAGCTTGGTTTACATTGAATTTCAATGGGAAAATGCAGAGATCTAATTAATAAGCTAAAGTTTATATTATAAAGTAAGCTGATTAACACTGCAGCCTTAGAAATGGGTGAATTACTGTTGTGTTCCACTTTGTTAATGGGTTTTGGGGATTTCATTTTCCACAAGACAAAAGATTAAAGAATAAATGGAGAGTAGCAGTTAAAGAAGGGTGTGCATGGTAATAAAATGAAGTTATTGGTTCACGCACATTTTGCCATGCCAATAATGATCAAATTGTCATAATAATTAATAATAATAATCACCCATTGATCATCAAGAAACAAAATGACTATCCAGCACCCGTTTGACTATTTAAAATATATTTTACATAGTAATAGTAATTTTTTGTTGCCTGTAGTCAGAGACAGGTGCAATAGCATCAAAACTGATACATATGTGGAACGGGTAATAGGATTTGCAAAGCAATTGAAAATTCTGAAATCAGAACTTAATTAAACAGGGGTCACATATTTTATACGTCTGTTTCATGATTCTAAATTGTTGACAAACTAGCTTTTTGTGGAAAATATTTAAGTGATTTTACATACAAGAATGGAATATCATGAATTATACAATACGTACTGATACTCATTATCAATAAAGACATATATAATTTATAATGTGAAGATTTTATTATTTCAGACACACATTATCATGATTATGTCACGTTTTAATGCACATACAAGTACATCTTGCCTTTATACATGTAATAAAGTATGTAAAACTGAGCTAATGGCCCAGTAGCAGAATGGGTTCTCCCTTAAAGTCTAAATTTCTGTCATACGTCTCCAATCTGATAAAAATTATATAACTAGATGCATTTTATTTACTAAAGAACAAATTTGAAGCAATTAACTCTATATGATTATATTTATTTGAAACATCATAAATTTACAAATATACAAAAATAGATTATATCAAACATATTGTATAATTCACTTTAATTATTTCTACGTAAATAAAATGTATATAAAGGCATTATATTTTAAAAAGTTTTAACAGGAAAGTATTGATTATTTATCCAAGATCATTTTCATACTGTTATTCAGTACATTGTACAGTTGAAAAATAAAGCAGTTTACCGGTATATGTTTAAAGCTACATTAAATAAATATGTTAAAATATTTTTGCCGTCGGCCTAAAAACCAAGCATTCTACAGTTTCATTAACCTTTTTAACAGTATCGTTGTAAATCTCATCAAATATTGTTCATAAATTAGGATTTTAAATGGAAAACCCCACGGTAACACTAAATTAGTTCGTATACGAATTTTAACATGCAAATGAAGACTATAATCAGCTCGTGTATGCGCTACGTCACGGCGTTATAGTTGCTATCCGGAACACAGCAAATTTAGATTTTCTTGTGCAAACACACTTTTACCGTTAAAGCTTCACGGTGCACTAGGCCTGTGGTTCAGAAAAAATAATCATCTCATAAAAAAGATTAAATTTGTATGAAAATATCCGTTACAGTGCGGAAATATACCGTTAAATTAGGACTGCTACTTATAGTCATGTTTGTTGATATAATATTGATGTACGGATGATCTGAAGGCGGAGTTTCTCATGCAAACAGAAATTGTACTTCCGAATTCGCCACAATGAGGTTGCACATTTGTATGCTCATTAAACTCATTTTGGTTGTCTGGACACCAAAATAAGATCTGGAGTCGATATGAAACCCAATTTATATTATGAAATGTCGCTATTTCTTTTTTTAAGAAATTTATTTAATGTAACTTTAAGATTTAATGTAATATATTCAATTTGTTAAATATAACTACCTTAATATTAAATGATAAAATCTTCATTTATTTCTGCTGCTGAAGCCCCTTTGGTAATTAATTATTACTTTAATTTAACAACTGACCAGTCAAAATACTCTGAAACTTTCTATTAATCTCTGTGTTTACATCAAGTGGCTGTAGTTTGTATACCTCTTATTTACTACTTCCGCTTCTCAGTAGCGTGTGGGAAACTCCCCCATTAAAATTAATCATAAGTAATTAACTTATTGTCTTTAACCGAACTTTCACCAGGAAAGCATTTTACCATTTTATTTGCGTGGGCAAACTGGAGTTTTCGGTTCGTTTCTTAAAAAAGTTTGAAACCGCCGTATGAACACATCTGCAGATGTTTCTAAATTCAAAATTTTACCATTTTCGTGTTTAAATGTTGAATTCTGCTTCCGGTGCTAGGGGGCGTGGACGGTAACTTGCACTTACCAGTACCGTCCATGAACAGGCTCAATCAAACCGAGCCTGCAACATTTTCAATTTTGCCGTGTTGGGCTTTCTTTAGGGATTCTGTTTTCTCTATTATTTGATAAGCCATGTGGTGTTTTGAAAGCTGGCCGGGCAGATTATATATAAAAAAAAAAAACAAAGATGAAAATAATGTTGATTTATTCATGCGTGAACATGAAATATGTTTTGTAAAATAATAATTCAATAAATCTATGAATGATAAAGGTCACAAAACATATCACAATTTACATATATATATATCAAATAAACATGCAATTGAGTAGACTCAATAAAATCCAAAATTAAAAGTCTTTGCAAAGATGGGCGATTCCTTACAAGATCTTAAAAATTCGACAACTTTTTTCTATGTCCGGCTTTTATAAACTTAAAGTAACAGTCGATTTGATAAAGAGCGATTTAGAACTTGGCCGGAATATTACGAACTTGACCGAAGTGTAACAAACGGTTGATTAATCGAATATCTGTACATGTATAGGGACAATTATGCAACGCATTATTATACATATGTTTTGAAAGTAATATCAAGTTCACAATGGACTTACAAAGTGGATCTTCTGTTATTTCTTGTAAACAAAGACAAATAAAACTGATAAGATTTTTCATTAATTAAGAAGAAAATGGGAGTCTTAAACATCGCCCAATGAGGCATATCAACATTGTAAATGCTACATGTATAAAATCAGCTTTGATAGATAGCAATTATTTCAATTTTACGAGTACTTAAAAAAACAACAACAAAAAAACAACAAAAAAAAACAACAACAACAAAAAACAACAGAACATAAAAAAGATGCAACCACAAGATCATCTAAACAGTTTCACATTAATAAGTTAATAAGAGTTTCTCGATAATTGAAAGTTCTTGTTTTTGGGCACAACTCCCTATGATAAGGACGACAATTGTGTACCGGAAGTTGACTTTGAAGATATTTGTTCATATTTGTCGTACAGAAGGCGTCCAACTTTCCTTGTACACAGAAAACAGACTGCTATAAGTAGCCCTTGCAAGGAATTGAATATTATAAATAGATACCATGTGACTGTCTCATTAGTAATGTTGGCAATGAAGGCGAAGATCCACGTGAGTCCCATGATAACGGACAATTTTATATTGATAAGAAGTGAGCACGATCGTGACCGTTTAGAAGCCATAGCTCCCTGTTTGTTCGCCCTGGCAATGTTAAAAGCAGTAAAAGCAAACGCTACTACGTCAAACAACTTCAGTGCAGCCAGTGGCGCAGCAAAGAAAATAATAAGACCATATTTGGAAGAAATCCAACATACGTTCTTCCCATATTGTGGTTTAAAGGAAATATCTTCGATATCTATACAGAAATCTAATATTACGGCAGACGTAACTACACCTAAAGGTGTCAACCAAGCATACAGGCTGTACTTTATAAACCTGCTTTTATTTCGTCTTGACCCTCCTGACATGAAAGTGTTAGAAAATGTCAACAATAAATCAAGGGCCATTACATTCATCCAACAAAAAGCTGCCAGAAAAAAATAGTGGATAAGAATTGCGGCAGAAATACAGAGTTGAGAAACAGTTTCCATTTCAGCAGATACAAGAAAAAGAAGCTGAGCCAGAAAGAGAGCGACGATCAGGCAGACGAGAATTTTTCCCGGTATGTTCATCAGCTGGGAAAATGTTGCATATACAATCAACGTAATAGCTAATGAGGCTATTGAAATAATTAAACCAATCATCGATAAATAACTTTCAATAATGTCAAACTGGAATATGGAATTTTCGTTATCACAATTATGCGAACAGTTCTGGTCTGTCTTTGTTACACAAATAAATACATTGTTTTCTATCAGCCGAAATTCCTCTTTGAGATAGGTTTTGTTATTTGATAAAACAAAGAGGCGAGAGTTATTAATTATTATATATTCAGACGGGTCCAGTTTCACCATAGTACAATTTCCGGTTGATGAGATGGTCTCGTTAGTTTCATTTGTTTCGTTAACAGAACAAGATCCTTTGACAGCCACTAGAGGAGGAGGACAAAATATTTCGCGACATTTCTCCGAAAAACTATCATACAGTTCGTTGTCAGCGCAGTTGCCCATATCTGAAATAACACCATTTTTGTCTACAGTGCCTTTATTAAAATCAACAAGAAGTCTAAAACTGTAAACTTTTCTCGGGGTTTCTGTTGGAGTGTTGTTAAATGGAGAGGAAGGTGTTATTATCTCGCAAAACAAAGTTCCAGTTTGTCCGTTACATGATGCGCAGTGTTCATTGCGAAAGGCTATTCCAGACGAATCATACACTATACTAAAGCTTCCATTAGTGCACTTTTCTTCATTTTCATTGAAATGTTCGGCGTTTTTGTCCGAGCATGAATCAATAACACGTGGTTTCAACTGACATGTCCGATAACCAATTTCCGGTTTGGGAGGAAGGTAAAATAATTCACAATCAGGCCTACCTGGCAGACTTCGAACTCCCGTTTTATTTAGACACTTCATTTCCGGTTTCCAGTACTCGAATTCGTACTTGTAGTTACACTGCGCACAATACAAATTCTTGTACATAATTGATTGATACGACACCGGAAGTTTAAGAAAAATGTCGTCTGCATCGGTGTTTTCCTCGCATAACGTTTCTGTTTCTTTATGATTCCAATGTTCTGAACATTTTGTTACCATATGTACACCGTAGTTTTCATTCTTTAAAATTCCCTCTTGGAGAACGCACGAAAACTGGTTCATTTTCAGAGTAGTCTCAGCTTCGGTTTCCGGATAAAAGTTTTTACAACAATCCTGTAAAAGTCCACATAACTTATCACAGTAGCAGCTTTTGTCTGGGAATGAAGGAAACGTTTTATTAAAACACGATGATTTTGTCTTACAATATTCCGAATCTGTTTTTAACATTTCTTCTGGGTCATTGTAATAATCCTGGTTATCTGTTGTTGTTGTTGCAGTTACAGACGACTGCGTAGGGAAGGAATTCGTCGTTATTTTAGTAGCTTCCGGACCTTTTGGTAAACCAGTCAAAGAAAGCACAAATGTGAATATTTTGATATAACAAAACTGATTTCTTAATGATTTTATCTCCATCTTACTTTTCCCTTCGGAACAAGTCCTGTTTCTGGAAGCTGTATTAAACTTTCGAGATTTTTATCCACCCGCTGCAAATTATTTAGGATTAATATAAACACGTTTCAAACTTATCCGAATGTTTACTTTTCATCTAAACTATTTTCTAGTTTCTAAGAAAATGGTTTTCCTCACCTCTCAATTCCCTTTTTCATACAAAAGCTGTTTACAACACTTATATCCTTTTTACCATCCTATCAAGTTTTAGACGCTAAGTGTTATTCATTTTTAATTAGTAAAGCGATTTAGTTTCTAAATTTGGTAAGAGTATATAAAAAAACCAACAACAAAACACTTATCACCTTCTTAAGCAACAGTTATAAAAAAGCATCATTGTTTAGCGGATTTGTGGAGGTGTGTAACTTAAGAATGTGAAGAGGAACTCCACGACAGAAGACACGTTCTATCTTATATGACACAGAAATTGCCCCTTGAACGAGCGCGTCACTCATCCACATAATCAATCTGGTGTCCATAGTACGGTACTTATTGTACTTATTGTAATAGCAATTTGTAGCTAATACTAAATCAGACATGTTAGTGAGATTATTTTTTTATGGATTTAACTCACTAGTGTTAAAGCAGTACCCCAAGACGCTTTCAGAATCATGATCACAAAATCTCACTTTTTAGGACGATTTTTAGATTTTTTGTTCATTATCGTACATGCATATAAATCGGTTTGAACAGATGAATATGGCATCTTTAAGTGCTTCCCTCATACTGTATCGGTGCGACGTCAAACCCAACAACAACAACAACAACAACAACAACAACAACAGCAGCAGCAGCAGCAGCAACAACAGCAACAACAACAACAACAACAACAACAAACATATAAATTTGCATCAAACTTGTATACATGAAATGATATTAAGACAATAGATATTTCTGTGCCCATAAGGTTATAAATATTTTACATTTTACTTTAAATTTGTAAATATTCAATATATTCTGCTTAAGTCTTTCTTGTGAAAATATAATAATTCACCCTAAGGCGCAAAAAAATAAAAGTTGTTACAAATTTTTTATTGATTTTAAAATAATATTTCTTTAAATATAAAGACAAATATAATTGTTGTGATGCATACAAATTTAAAACGCACGCGGAAAGTTGAGAATTTACAGTATGTATACTCCGGTATTTCCGGTGATCTTAAACTTGAAAAGTTCACTTCCGTTTCATCGTTGACGAAAACAATGAAATGATTGATTCATTAAAATAAACACACACATGAAAAAAGAACAACCTTTAATTAAGTATTTTGTTTCATGTTTGAAATATTATTTAGTATTATGATTTTGTTTTGTTAATTTAACTATGCAAATATAAATTCATATACATGTATATGTATAACAGAACGATTAAACAAAACAAATATTCTGCTAGCAAAAGTTTATCTAGGACAGGTTCACGCATTAGAGAGTATATATATAATTGTAGGGTCTTTACATGCCAGGGTGTATCTATACTGACCGTCTATACATGACAAAGTCTATACAGGCCTGTACAGAACAGGGTCTATAATGGACACGATGATTTCACGGTGTTTTCATGCCTAAGACTAAACACTTCAATCTCTACTTTACCGACCAGAATACGTACAGACTATACGGTTTATTGAAGCCATTGTCTTTACAAAAACACGTTTTGGTATAGTAAACAATGCAGATTATATGCGGATCATGGTATACACATATCGAAGAATATACAGACAAGTCTTAGAGTATATGCAGACCAGATGGTCTATACAAGCAAATGTCTATACAAATCATATTCTATACAAGTCATGTTCTATACAAGTCATGGTCAATACACAACTACAACTTGATTAACTCTACTTCTAATTCTCTCAGGTAATTAAACAAATGGCAACTTTTAAAATACATGCATATAAACCGCTGTTCTATTTTGATTGCTGAATTGCCCAGAAACCAAACGTCTCTCTGATTTAGTGCAGTAAAATGAGATGCCTTATCAATAAAAAACGGACTGTACTGAACGAAAATGATAAACGTCCAGAAAACTGCTAGGTAACTAGTACTGAATTATCTCCCTTTTATTTTATTTGTTTATTGTATAATTCGTTATGGTTATTTCATATAAAAAATAATAATTGTATAAAAAGAAGCGAAAACTCTTATGTTGTTAAAAAATCTTTTATTCTTTTTTTCAGTTGGCTATGAAATCATTGCAACGTGTTATTTTAGTGAATTTGGAGAAGGAGAAACAAACTATTTTCTGTCTTTGATAATCCTGGATGAATCATAAAATTCTGCTCGTTTTTTAAACTGATTTTTTTAGAGAAAGCGTCGATGTTTTTCCTGATTTCTTGGAAAAGGTGAACTTTCTAGAAAAACTTGAATCATTTCCCTGTAAGTTATCTAGATGTTTGAATGGTTTATCTACCATCTGATCGATTCTTCCTGGCAGAGAATGCAAAAAATGATAAAAAAGGTAAAAAAGCAGATACATATGAATGTAATATAAATCTTTTAAAACTACAACACTTTCCCCAACAACAACAACAACAGCAGCAGCAACAGCATCAACAACAACTCTTACAGCAACAGCAACAGCAGCAGCAGCAGCAGCAACAACAGCAGCAGCAGCAGTAGCATCATCATCATCATCATCAACAACAACAACACCAACAACAACAACAACAACAGCAGCAGCAGCAGCAACAACAACAACAACAACAACAACAACAGCAGCAGCAGAAGCAACAGCAATCAACATCATCATCATCAACAACAACAACAACAGTAACAACAACAACAGCAGCAGCAGCAGCAGCAATAGGAACAAACAGGAAGGTCACTTCAGAAATATTGATATAAACAATAGATAATATGTTAAAGTTATTGAAAATGTGTATCATTTGTACGGTTTTTATTTATCTCGTGCGCACGAGATACTATGTCGTGGCCACGAGTTACTAAGTCGTGGCCACGAGTTACTAAGTCGTGGGCGCGAGAAAGTTAAGTCGTGGGAACGAGATACTATGTCGTGGCCACGAGCTAATTAAGTCGTAGGCAAGGGCTACCATAGGTCAATCAATAATTTGTATACCTGACACTTTACAGGCAGGTTAAGTAGGGGCATTGTTGTACTATAGCACATGTCTAGTTAATTAGGAAAATTCATATAAATAGTGTAATCTGATTGGTTTTTTTTTCTTGTGCGCACGACTTAATTATGTCGTTCCAACGACTTAGTAACTCTTTGCCACGAGATGGCATTTCGTTCCCACGACTTAATTATCTCGTGCCCATGACTTTAAGTAACTCATGGCAACGACATAATATCTCGTTCCCACGACTTAACTATCTTGTGGCTACGACTTGGTAACTCGTGGCCACCACATAGTATCTCATGGCCACAACAAAGTATGTCGTGCCCACGACTTAATTAACTCGTGGCCACGACTTAGTAACTCGTAGTCACTACTGAGTATCTCATGGCCACGACATAGTACAATTGTATCTCGTTCCCACGACTTAACTATCTCGTGACCACGAGTTACTAAGTCGTGGTCAAGACTTAGTAACTCGTGGCCACGACATAGTATCTCGTTCACACGACTTAACTTTCTCGTGGCCACAACTTGTTTACTCGTAGCCACGATCAAGTAACTCGTGGCCACGACATAGTATCTCGTGCGCACGAGATAAATAAAAGCACACAAATGTCACCTTTGTGCCACCGTTCATTTCATTTGTTATTAGTATGTCCATTTTATTCTGATTAAGAGCACTTTATTTATCATAATATTATTATACATGGGCAAATATTAACAAACAAAAAATGTTTTGCTAACACAATGTCTTTCTCCTTGTTATTTCTTGTAATTATGTAAATATGTCAAATCAATCATCATACTTTTCTGTAATTATTACGTTATGTAGTTAATAAATAAATGCATATAATTATAATATGTGTGCCTAATATAAACCGCCAATCATAATAATTGCCGATGAACATGTGACTTTATTTGACTATCCATCAATGACAAAACATTTTAATTCATTTGGTCATACTATGGTGGCTGATTTATGCCATGTCAAACTTTCACTCCGCGAGGCATCAGGCGAATACACGAAAATACGACAAAGTGGTGACCGTCATATTACCGTGTTTTTTTCGGTGTTTCGCTTGGCACCCCTCGGAGGAAAGTACGACAAGTTGTTGACATAGTCGTATTTTCGTGTTTTCGTCCGGTGCCCCGCGCTGCGAAAGTATGATATGGCACAAAAATTAGCCACCATATACATGTATATAAAATTTGGCCATTAAATAACAATGTTTTCCTTAATTTGAGATTATCGGTACCTAGTGACTATACTGAAGAATGTATGACAAATTCATTTGTGTAAAAAAAATTCCAATAATTATTTATTCATATATGATTTAAGTCTAAATTTAACATTAGAGTGTTTCTTACTTAATCCTGATTTACCTACGCAAGTGGCATCACGTGTATTTTATCCCCGATATCTTGTGTAAGATGATACGCCCATTTGTGAGGTTATCGTGTGATACCAACATGTTTACTTAAAAATGATTTGTTGTTAACCGAGATTATTCATCCAATCAAGATGGTCGTTACAGGTTCAGAAAATAGGCTTTTATTAAGTATGCTATTACGTAGTGTTTCTTGTTAAAATATGCTTCCGTCTTTGTTTCTTTGTAGTGTAAGAAAGAAGTGAGCCGCGTCACGACAAAACCAACATAGTGGGTTTGCGACCAGCATGGATCCAGACCAGCCTGCGCATCCGCGCAGTCTGATCAGGATCCATGATGTTCGCTATCAGTTTCACTACTTGTAATAGGGTTATTGGTAAGCGAACAGCATGGATCCTGATCAGACTGCGCGGATGCGCAGGCTGGTCTGGATCCATGCTGGTCGCAAACGCATTATGTTGTTTTTCTCGTGACGCGGCTCAAGTTTTATTAAAAAGCATTATCTGTGATGCGCAAGAAGTCTTTGTATCTTGTTATTTTTAATGGAAAAACAGCAAACATCATTATTAAGTAAACACAATTTAAAAAAAAGAGTTAAAATGAAGGGAGACAACTGTTCATCTACTGGTATTAAATAACATGTCTACTTATTTAACTTAAAATATTGGTAAAAAAAATCAAAGGGGGACAATTGTTCATATAAAATTATTGGCTTACTCGTACATTAACATGATTATTTGCCCATTTATTTTAAATAATATTACACCATTGCGAATGATACATTATTTGATTGATCGCATTTCTAGTTAATCTTTTTTTCAGGAATTTGTGCGCTGTATATAATGGAAACAAAATATTATGAGGTTATTTTGTAGAGTATAATACTGCATTTAATTGACAAGAATACAGCAGTCAA